CTTGTCTTCATTTTGCATTCAAAGGGTACATTGCTGCATAGCTGTCGGGGATATAGTACCTTCATATGACTACTCATACAACAGAAAAAAAACTTTGCATGGAGTTAGTGAGATCTAAATGAAAAAAACGATGTATTTCAGCAAATATTAAAACCTTTTTGTTTTATTTTAGGCCTTCTTCAAAATACCTATGCCACAACAGTTGATTTTTTTTGCCATAAACTCAAAATAGTTTCATCCATGCCGACTTGCCGATCGGTTAGCGTCAGCCCTGACTGAACTCTGCAGAAACTTCACATCGATCTTCGCATCGCGAGGTAAAACAAAATGTCGGAAAACTTTTCTTTGACGCATGCGCATTTGCATAAATGTCTACACACATACGCACACACAAACATTACTACACACAATAAAAAACAAAGGAAAAACAGTGAGAGTGATTACAATAGTGCCTATTGCATTACATGCATAGGAACTAAGAAGAGCATGCCTTACAGTAAATTACACTTTTATATGGTGTAATATTATATATTATTATACAGCTTATGAATAAAGAATGAGATTTCATTTACCGTTCCAGCAAGTCTGCATCTATTTGTTTTTCTTGCCCTGAAGAGAAAACTGTGTCCTTTATCTTCGAAAAAAGAAAGATTTAAGGCGATTCATATTTGACTGACGATTCTATTATTTTCTTGAGTGTATGCTGCAGTTTTTCCCATCATACACAACCTATTTATTGTTGGTATTCAAGCACATGGCGAAGGAATGAACTCTACGGAGTGACTGCTCTAGATTATTATGTTTTCTATGTCTTTTGTAAACATGAATAAATTTACCAAAAAAGCATGTTGACAAATGCAGCTTGTTGTACAGCAGTCATTGTTTGCTAGATCAGTGAGATGTAAAGGGTTAGGGTAAAATTTGTATGCTAAACATTATATTTATGTATCAATGAAGTGAATTTCCAGTCAGATATAAGAACTGAAAAATATATAACTGACAGAAACTAAAACAATGTCTACAGATTTAAAAACCATTATCAATTTATAACAGTTCCTGGTAACTTTGAATGTGTACATGTGGTAATTGGAGGTAAGTATATTCATGCATCCCTCTTCCCCCATCCAAAGTGGCCTATTGTAATAATTAAAAATGAACAAATAAGGAAATGATATGTAATTTACAAGATAGGATGACAACAAGAGCTAGCTGGTTCCAATTATAAAGGGGCAACTACTAACATGTAAATATATCCCACATTTTATACTTATTATATTCTAATGAATAATTAAGTGTGCATCACTTTGAGGATCAAATAGTCTCCATACTCACATCTAGTTTTGCTGGAAGCTGTGCCAACTTTAATGACTTCAAAGCTGCTAAATACTTACATAAATGAACTTGAAATTTACTTGCTGCATCATTATGGTTCTGTAATGAAGCATTTGAAATGACTTAATGCAATTGTTTATTAAAGTTGAAATTTGAAACAGATTGTATATCACTAAAATACATTTCTTATTTTCAGTTATTTAAAAAAACACTATGGTATGTTTTTCCCATTTGACAATTAAAAAAAATGATTATTAGATTAAATTACTATTCAAGCTACAGTAGATCTATACTTTAAACAATTCCTGATGATGACATAATTAATGTCGAAATATTGAATCCCAACACGATGGCGTGTATTTCAATACTTGGAGTATGTATTATACTTTCTTATCTGAGATTAATCAGTGGACCTTTACATGTAAATATATCCCACATTTTATACTTATTATATTCTAATGAATAATTAAGTGTGCATCACTTTGAGGATCAAATAGTCTCCATACTCACATCTAGTTTTGCTGGAAGCTGTGCCGACTTTAATGACTTCAAAGCTGCTAAATACTTACATAGATGAACTTGAAATTTACTTGCTGCATCATTATGGTTCTGTAATGAAGCATTTGAAATGATTTAATGCAATTGTTTATTAAAGTTGAAATTTGAAACAGATTGTATATCACTAAAATACATTTCTTATTTTCAGTTATTTAAAAAAACACTATGGTATGTTTTTCCCATTTGACAATTAAAAAAAATGATTATTAGATTAAATTACTATTCAAGCTACAGTAGATCTATACTTTAAACAATTCCTGATGATGACATAATTAATGTCGAAATATTGAATCCCAACACGATGGCGTGTATTTCAATACTTGGAGTATGTATTATACTTTCTTATCTGAGATTAATCAGTGGACCTTTCGATTACTGTACATGTGCAGGTAATAGTCAATCATAATAGTAGAAAATGTACTGATAGGCCTTACTTCTTTTGTACCTTAAATTAGAAATTAAATACAATATAGAAAATATGTATTTGCATAATCATGATTATTAAACATTGTCTGATCACATAAACTTTGGTATGAACACATGTAAAGTAGTAAAAATGAAATGAAATCAACAAACCTTTTTTAGAAGTACTCTCAGCTTAGTGACAAGTATATCCATTTGAATCACACAGAATTCATGTAATGGAAGGTACCACTGTAAATTCGAGTGTGGGAAAACCAGTGAAAGAGCATACACTGTATTTCCACTTTGAATTTCAGCAGTAAAAATAGAGGATGTAATCAGTATGGCTCTTTCAGAAAGGACAAGGAACTTGGTGTGAACAGCTGATGAATATTCATCACTTGAACTTATTGTATGCTTACAGACAAACTTGATACAATCATAATCAAAATGCCTGCGGCCCTCTGTCATCCATACATGTTCAATATGAGGACCAAGGATATTGTTCCAAAGACAGAGAATAATGGCATCAACAGGATATTCATCAGAGCCTTCTAAAACTGTTGTCGCCTTAGCAAGTTCATCAACAGACGACAGACTACGGAACATGGGTAAGTGTGACATATTATGAATCTTCTGAAAGTTGTATATCAAGTATGATGCTGGACAAGCAGTGTTGCTTGAAAGCACAATAAACAACTCACAACACTGTATCATGTAACACCAGTAAAAAATCTCTGTTTAAACTCATCCAAAAGAGAATCTGATGTGCACACTCAATTGATAAATTCAAGAAGAATAAAGTCATGAGAGCAAGAGTACCTCCCCAGGTGAGTCTAGGAGTTGACGAGTTCATAATCATTACTAAAAACAACAGCAAACTTGTTGAAAGACATGATGAAATGACATGGTTTAGAAATATTCGCTTTAAAAGGGGTCGGTCAAGAATAATATCAGTCAGCTGTGAATATGTAGGCAACATCCCTCAAAAAACAATAATCGCAACAATGAACCGTTAAGGTTCTTGTTTCATACCAGCCGCAACAAACAGCAATGTGGTTGCCTCGTCTTCATATCATTAACAGCAGACAATGCATTTGTCCTGTTTGTAACACGCTATTTCCAACCGTAGATATTTGGCTGTCTTCCATTGACGGCAGTGTTAAGATTCTTCATTATGTAAACGTCTGCAAGAAAACATTTTACAAAATAAATTTATCGAAGTTTGTTTTTACTCTGAAATATCAAGTATTACACACTATTGTAAGATGGCCAACATGCTACACTTGGCAGTGATTTTGCTTGTTTTTTTTGGTTTTATTAACAAGAGATTATTGCCCTTTACAAGAACAAGTCCAAAAGTATGTAACATACTAGTGCTTAAATATTAGCGAAATTAAACAGAAAAACGATTGGTACTTAAGATATACTTCATTTCATTTATCTGTCTCAAACAATTAAAATGTACATAAACAGAAATGGCAAAGAACAATCACAAAAGTACAAAAACAAGAGACAGGACACTCCAAAAGTAAAATCAATCACTGTCGAGTGGAGACCCTTCATGAGAAAAACATGAATACTTAAAATATAAAAATAACATACAATTTTGCTTTTCATTTAAGTCTGTGCCACCTCTAATTAAATTAAATGTAAACTAGATTTGAACTCGTCACTGAGGACGAGTTTGGTGATCCGCAGTACTTTGACCCTCACGAAGCATGCGTGGTGCTGATTGAAAAGTATTATATGCTAAAACATGCTCTATTTAGTTTTTAAAAAGAGTAATTTTGAGCATTTGAATGACTTACGAATGTGTACACATACGTCTTAACGTCCGTGCGCACGGTAATGATATTAATACAGTGTCACAAACCCAAAAACATGTAACCGAAACGTAATTTCCAGCTTCAGTACGTGCTGTGGGCATGGAAATGAGCGTACAGCGCGTAAATTATGGAAAGTTTTGGGATACTGAAAATGACCTGAAACATGCTTTAAATTATCTGAAAAGTGATATTAACAATTTTAAAATTTTAACGCACAAGTACGAATACTTTATACAACGTGCCCGAGGACGGTAATGGCACATGAATTTAAACCTTGTCAAGTTTAATTTAAAACCCCCTGTTGGTTGGTAATGCCACACGAATTTTCCCTTTACAGTATACAAACTATCGGTCTGATAGCGTCGAAATACAGTCTGCCGCCCTCTACTTTAAAATTGTTTACATCTTTTAAGAAAGAAAGATGAGAAGGCTCCAAAAAAGCATTCTTTTTTACCATGATGACGTCATCAAAATGAAAAATAAAGGGACACTTCTGAAAGAGAATTGTCTCAGCTATAACATATTCACAGGTGGAAGACAATCGACCAAGAATAAGCAAGATACGTTCAAATAAGTTGAAAAATAATGACGTCATTAATAAAATTTCAGTTTTTAAAAATTCAGATAGCAATATGATGACGTCACAATGTCCGATCAGCCATAATGATCTATAAAATCATATCTACAATTCATGTGCTTTCAGAATATGTAATAAAAATTAGGGGTTACCTTTCATCCTAAGGAGCTACTGTATAACTGATTAAAAGTAGGCACAATTTTAAGTATACATGATTGTTGACGCACACGTACGCGCACGTTAAGTCGCGCGAACGGAAAATTAAGGTACCTGACATTCAACCTTGACCTGAAGATTATGCTCAATTAATATGATTCAGAAATGACGAATGGTTAAGATGATATGGGCTCATGAAC